TTTTTTTTTTTTTTTTTTTGGAATGGCTTCAGAATAGTAAGTACTATGGATAAACCATCATTTATTTAACAAGGTCCCTACTGATGAATATCGAAGTTGTTTTCACATATATGTGTTTGCAAACTTGTGTACCTAGATGAAACCTCTAGAGCTAGAATTGCTAGGTTAAAGGATATGCTACTTGAATGCTGACGTTTACTACTTATTTGCATTTCAGATTTTGCTACAGCTAATTTGAGAGAGAGAGAAAAAATTGGCCTGCCTGGATCCTTACCACCTTGTCTATCTCTATGCTGGCTTTTATTGAGAGCATTCCTACTAATTTAAGGGAATAGTTTGTTTCTTAACTTTATTCTAAAATTTATTCCATGGAAACAAACATAGTCCAGAAGTTTGCATGGAATGTTTTTAATAGATATTTTTCAGGCCAGATGAGGAATTGATTTTAAGCGATTTTTCTCACATACGACTGTGAGGCACAACCTGTTCGGGACGATGGCATCTTGTTTCTCCTCTGACTGTGAGTGTTCCAACTGCCTGGAAAAGATGCAGGACGAGTCCGACTGCGACCGTTGCTTCAGCGAGAGCGATGACAGTGACTCTCCGTGTTCAGGGTCAAGAAAGGAGTCCAGGCCCCTGGGTATGCAGTGCTTCCCTTCTCCTCGGGGTCCCTCCAGGCCAGAGAACAGCAGAAAAGACCCAGTGTTTCTTTCCTCAGAGGAGGAAAGCTGCGTCGAGTCTTCTCAAGATAATCATTTCAGCTGGAACCCAGAGGGCACTGCCAGGAAAAGCAGGCCTTTGAGGGAGCTGACAGTTGAGGAGTTAGTGAGGGAGTTCGGGGGTCACTGGGAGTTTCAACCGAACTCCATGTCTCTGGGCCACTTTAGGGACCAGGTGGTGATGAAGTTCAGAAGAGCTCTGTATTATTCCGGAATATGGGTGACACACGTCCAAGGCTACAGGCCTGAAAAGCGCTTTTCAGCTCATTACTTCAAGAGACACCCCGGCTGCCTGCAGAGGCTGGTCCCCTGGCTGAAACGGGAGCTCGCGGCCGTGTACGGAGATTATGGCTACACGGCGAGGAACATCCTCAGCACCGTCCTCCGCCACATGACAGAACTGGATCTGGACAGCGAGGCCTTCATTTACCTGCTGGAGCCCTACCTCCAACACCACACCCACCACTTCCTGCACGAGTTCATCAGCTTCGTTCATTCGCCTTATAACATGGAGACTTATGACCAACGGGCCATCTACCAATATTCTGCTTCACCGTGGGTACAGAAGAAGGCCTTCGCGTCCACTCCTGTTGTGCCTGTGCCTAAGGATCAGGCCCTCCTGGCCTCTCAGCGTGCTACAAGGATGTCCCAAAACACCGGTGGCCCGTGGAATAGTGAGCAGAGGCCTCTGTCGGGCTTGAAGCCGTTTCCAAACGGGAACTCTTTCTTGAAGGGATCTGAAATCCCACCAATCCATAGCAAAACAGCACCCAAAACCGACGCTGGGATCAAAGACAAACCAGAATCAGGTGATCACAACGGCGCCGTTTCTACTAATGACACGCTCCTGGACTGGGCTGTTCCAAGGGAAAGGGTCCCAGGCTTACAGAATTGCAAACAAAATGTTCAAGAGATGAAGACAAAAGGGATGAAGTTGTTTCCTGGGCGGGTCCAGGACCTGGGAGAGGAGGAAACAGCTGCAGGCACCTTCAGTCCCCCAGCAATTGTTAACCAGGGGAAGCAATGGAAACACACTCCAACAGAAAGAAAGGTTTTAAGCCTTGGCCAGCATACGAATGTCCAGAAAAAAGCAGAAAAAAACAAATACTCAGATTCGTCACCAAAGATCTTTCAAAGATGCTTGCCCAGAGAAAGATCTTTGACAAGCTGCCGATCCAGAAAGAGGGACCCCTCTTGGAGTTGCATTTCAGAAAATGCCCTTTCTCTCGAGAGAGATGGTAGGAAGCTGAGCTCTTTTAGGAAAAAGAAGATGAAGTGCAGGCAGTCCTCCCAGTTTGTAGAAGTTAGGTCACACTCCAGTAGAAGACTCCAAAGACAATCCAGGTCTGGCACTCACAGATCCAAATCCTGGTGCGTTAGACTTACAAAGAGATCAGCAAGCAGAGAGTCAAGTGATCCCTCTCTGAGAGGAAGCCACAGAAGTGAACGTTTCACCCAGAATATAGGCTGCGAGCCCTCAAAGGACAAGAATGTGCATGGCTACGAATCACACCATCAGAGGGCATCTTCAGCCACAGTCCAATACACGAAGCTTCCCTCCACTGCTGGGAAGAAGGCCAAGTGTCCTTCTAAAAGCGAAGGGGCTTCCTCAGCCGGAAGCCACTGTAACAGTCCCACATGCCTACAGACGGAGAAGCACAGGTCCCCAAGTAAACAAGAGATGAAGCAAAAACCCACATGTCCTACGGCTAGGAAAGCCAGAGCAGTGAGGCAGACAAAGGACAGATGCCACCGAGGTATACAAAGCACCGAGGAATTCAGTGATGAAGTGGAGGACCTGAATGAAATAAGGCAAGTGAGCGGTCTTTCTCCTTCCTGCAGGAGGCAAGTCCAAAAGCAAAAGAGCCGGAGCCTCCAGAAACATCACCAGGCAGAGGAAGAACAGAATGGAGACAAAGCGTCGGAAACACAGTGGTGCAAACAGTTCTGAAAGGCAAAGCAGTCCACTCACCCAGTCTCCAAGGGTCTTCGAAAGCATGAATGGAATCTAAGAAGGACGACTAAAAAGCTTCATCCCATCACTTTGTAACTGGAAATAAAAACCTGATGATTAAATTCAAGGCTCCTTTTTGAGACCCATGCATATTTTAATTGGCCATATATACGTATAAATATTTCTTGTTTGGTTTTTTTCCTTATGAACTGAATTCTTAACAGATTGGACTTATTTTTTTAGTTCCCAGATTTAGCTATGGAAGTTGGCTGCAAAAAGTTGCAAACGCCACTGAGACTACAGTAACACTAGGAGCATGTAACTAGACACAGTTATGCATATTATGTTATTACAAATATATATGCATACGTATCCCAGACCTGGAAAGTAAAAGGCCACGGTCACTATCTTAAGATGTAGTGATTGTCTTCAAGGATTTCACAATCTAGTTTTGAAAATAGATGCAAATAAATAGGGAGAAATGAACATCAATGGGATATTTTGCACTACCTTCCTACCTCCCTACCCTGAAAATTGTGCCTTCACATGCCCTAACATCTAGATATCTTCATTAGAAGATGACATGTTTTTAGATAACACCGATCCCCTACCCACTGTAACCTCGTACAGTGGCGACGACCACACCTAAGCCAAACTAATCATAGTATTTTGCCCCTCTGGTCACATAATTGATGAGTCCAGTGGTTTTCTAATCATAGTACTTCCCTGAGATTTTTCAAACTCGTTCTGATGAAAAGGGTCATTCTCCCTCCCTAGTGGCAGTTGGTAAAGATTTAAAGCTTGGTTACTGTTTAGAGCTATATTTCTCAGTTTGTAAAGAAAGTCTGTTGGAGGTAAGAGAGGAAAAAGCTAACAAAGAAAAGTAAGGTAAGTCATGAGGAGAGAGTCTTGGAGTCAGGATTTGGATTTTCTAGAACTTGAGCTGCCTTTTTGCTCTTCACATGGTCTTTTTATTTATTTATTTATTTGTTTATTTTTGTTAATCCTCACATGAGGATGGGAGGGAGGGAGGAGGGGAGAAAGCAAGAGAGAGGGGAGGCGGGAGGAACACTGATATGAGACACATCCCTTGGTTGCCTCCCACGTGGGTCTCAACAGGGGCCGGGAATCAAGCCTGCAACCCAGGCATGTGCCTTTGACTGGGAATCAAACTCGAGACCCTGCAGTGTGCGGGCCAACGCTCTAACCACTTAGCCACACTGGCCAGGGAGGTCTTATTTTTTAACACCTCTTTAGATTCTGTGAGTCAATACATTTCCTCCCAGCCTCTCTTATTGAATTGGGATTTCCAGTGCCTTGCCGTCAAGCAAGTCACTGAGAAGTGGAACAATGGAAGCCTGTGAGAGAGCACACAGGGAGCGATGAGTCCCATGGGGAGGCTTCTGAAGGCTGCTTGGAGAAGTGATATATGAGTATGATCTTGAAGAGTGAGCAGGAGTTTTCTAGGTGGATGTGTAAAGAAAAAAAGAATTTCCAGAACTTTCCATCCAGTGTGGCTGGTAAATTCAGAGAGATGCACCGAGAAAGGAGACTGAAGCCAAGCTGTGAACAGGGAAGAAACTTGGCTTTTCTGGGCCCACAGCAGTCATGAATTATCTAAAAGTAGCCCAGGACTCAAAATACAAATGTATATATTTTAAATAACATTTTGTTTTAATAACTTCCTTTTTAAAATCATGACTTTTTCCCAGAACTCGTAGAAAACCTGTAAACAGATAAAACTGTGTTTCTGTCCATTTGGTGATATACATATATGCATCCCCACACTTTCATTAAGTTAGGTGAGCAGTTCATTATCAACTGTGAGCTAAACCTTTCATGGTAAAAATTCATGGGAATATATGTAAAGTCCTGAAATTGGGGGAAGGAAATCAATTGTAGTGGCTCCAAGGTCACCCAATTTACCAGTAGGTGACATTTAAAAAGAAAGTAAAACTGCTACTGCGGTGAAAAGTGTACTTATGAGTCAACGATGTTAGGCGGCATTCAAAGATGTAGAGAATTTCTTTGGGTAGGAAAAATCAAAATAAATACCTAAATATCTTCAAAAACATGAATAGATGTTCTCTAGGAAAGCATATTTCTCTGGGAGATTTGGAAAATGGATTTTGCTTCATTTAAGAAGAAAGTTACAGGGAGGTAAGTTTTGCTTCATCGAAGAACGTGTGTTCTATCAGTGTGGTCATCCGGTTCCTACCAGAGTGGACATATGGTAGAACCAGGAGCCCGTGTTGGGAAGGAGCTCTCATACTTGGAAGTGCTCATGCTTGGCTGGATCCCAATGATGCGGGAAATTTGACCGGATGTTTTATAAATTCTCATTCCACTCAAAGATTCCAAGACTCTTTAGAGAGTCACAGAAATTTGCTAGTGAACCAAAAATATCATACCTTTCAACAGCTCAACAGCTTTTCTTGAATGGGGAAAAAAATTCAATGATAGCACAGTAACAATAATCAATATTGAAAGTTTACTGTGTGTGAGTCACACACACACACACACACATACACTCTATGAGGTATTATTTGAATCCATATCTTACAGATGAGGGAAACTGAGGCTCCTGCTGTTACCTGCTAAAGGACACAAAGCTAGTCAGTGTTGCATCTGGATTCACACCCAGGTGGCCTTAACTGGAGTCACTGATGTGAAACCCAACTTGACACTGCCTACTTTTTGTTGTTCTCTTTCAGTTATCTGCTATCTTTCATACTCTGTGGTGACCACATTCACAAACACTACATTACTTTACCTTTACAACAAATGAGTAAAGTTGGTTTAATTATGCCTGTGTTTTCAATGAGAAAAGCAAATTTCAAAGACACACTATCACAACAAGCAACAGAGCCAAGCCGAGAGCCAGACTGTAGGTCTAACTGCGCATGCTTTGTGATTACATAGCGTATCGTGATTGACTGAGCTTTTCGAATTTAACTCAAATATATCTATGACCCTTTCTCACCTAGTTTTCTCTGCTACTGAGAGTACTTTTTCACCCCAAACCAAGAATACTAATATAATCATGCAGGCTAAGGCATTAAAGGGTTGCTTCTACTTATTTATAAGGATAAAAACCAATTCCTCTTTGCCAAGTTCACCATGAATTGTCCTTTAGATGGTAATGGGGTTCATCTCAGCCAGATGGGAGGAGGCAGGTGAATCATTTTCAACATGTATGCTTCAGTTCACACAGTGTCCTCTATGGCATGTGGGTCAGCTGAGCCTCTGAAGCCCAGGGTCAGTGTTCATCTCTCCCCTTGACTCTACTGCTCTTTGGGCTGACACTCCTTGAGGTGCATTTCATTATCTAAGGACAGGCAGGTAAGGAGAAATGAGGTTTCTAAAGATACTTAAGTCATGTCGGGTGTGAATATTTTTTAAAGTGGGTTGTTAATGCTTAGATCTTTCTATCACGCATGATTTAGCTAACGTGTATTTATTAATCCCCACGGCTGCTGCTCAGGAAGGGCCTTCCATCTGTGCTCACTGGAACCGATAGTTTATCCTTCTAACTCTTTTCCTGCCTCTGGGCTCCCTCTCCAGATGGCCATCCCCACTGCTACGGTCATTCTAGTACACACACTTATTCATGTAATTTCTTTGCCTAAAATTCTCTATTGCTTCTCTGTTGCATACAGCATAAAGTTTGAATTCTTAAGTTTTTCACATAAGGACCTTTTGGCCCCAATCCATTATTATATTGTTTTGTCCTAAAATACAAAGCACACAAAGACAGACATACATATATATCATGCACAAGGACATATATACACACATCTGTCTGTCTGCATAGCTCATCTCTTGTCAGTAGAATAGACTGTAACTTCTCTGCCTTCCACCAATACATTCCCTTCAAAACAATTAGTCCAGTATCTTCCATATGATGTTCAATATTTACATTTCCTCTAATGGGTCTGGCATTATTGAACTATATGATTTTGGATAAGTTAATGTGTCTGCAACTCGGTTTTCAGCCACATAAAATAAAATTGATTGGATCGCTTTTTGGACCACTAATCTGATGTTCTGTAAAACAATATCACTGCTTTACGTCTGAACCTTCTCATACTTCATGTCAGTGGTTTGGACTGGACTCACACCTAGCCTTTTAAAATTTTTACCACATTATTGGCACCTATGGTGGATTTTAAATTGTTTACTAGCCTGTAATATAATTTGGATTTGGCAACACTCTGCTAGAGGATTTTTAAGGTTTCTTTTCATTTCTAATCTATAAATCTTTGATTTGGGAGTTAATTAAGTTAAATAGTCACTTCAAAGTGGCTAATGAACTAGAAGTACTGTTTAGCTAAGTTCTGATAACAAATCTTATTATATTATTAAGTAATGCAAAGTAAAACTTAAGGACACTGTTTCACAATACTGCCATATGCACCTCTGTCTCATTGATAGGTCACTTATTAATGTAAGTTATATAGTATCTGAACACAGGTAGCTTTAACAGTTTCAGTAACACTCCACTGTAAGGCTACTTAGGGAGTTGACAGCTGTGTTTTTTATGTTAGGCTTTATAACAAACAAATATGTTGTAAATATTATTTTTATGTACCAAATACTATGCAAAAACATTATGAAATATGAAGATTCTGCATATACACTTATGTATCAAGAACTCAAAAGAGTAGGAACCACACTTCAGCATAAATACAGTACCTGATGTTAAAACAAGCAGGGAACAGATGCAACAGCCCAGTTGTTGATGTAGGACTGACCCATCGCTCCCCTGCTTACTCCTTTAGTGCCTTCTCAGGTTCTGCGGTCTACTGCAGCAAGGTCTTTGCTTTCCCCCGGCCCCCAAACGTGATCCAAGGACCCGTAATGCAGCAATATCAGTGGAATGTCATTTCCTCAATCATGCCAGGCCACTGTCCATCTTCATGCTGACTTCTCGGCTTAGGATGTTCTTTAGACAACACTTTACTTTCTAGGATCCATTCAAGAAACACCTTCTCTTT